ACGCTCTTTGGGAACGTGCTGGTGTGCGTGGCAATCGTCCGCTACCGGCACCTGAGGAGCAAGGTCACCAACATCTTCATCGTGTCCCTGGCTGTCTCAGACCTGCTGGTGGCTGTGCTAGTCATGCCCTGGAAGGCGGTGGCTGAGGTGGCCGGGTACTGGCCTTTTGGGGCTTTCTGCAACATCTGGGTGGCCTTTGATATCATGTGCTCCACAGCCTCCATCCTGAACCTATGCGTGATTAGCGTGGACAGGTACTGGGCTATTTCCAGCCCTTTCCGCTATGAGAGGAAGATGACCCAACGGTTGGCTCTAGTGATGATCAGTGTGGCATGGGCTTTGTCTGTGCTCATCTCCTTCATCCCTGTCCAGCTCAACTGGCACAAAGGTGGGGATGTTGCTGCTGGTGATATTGGAGATGGATTTGGCACTGGCTGGGCAGCAGCAGGTGCTGTCACCACCTGGGCGGAAGATATGAGCACCACATGGGTGGCATTAGCAGCAATGAGACCCTCTGATGGGACCTCTGGCAGCAATGATACCCTCACTGGACCATCAGAGAGCTGTGACTCCAGCCTCAACAGGACTTACGCTATTTCATCTTCCTTGATCAGTTTTTATATCCCAGTGGCTATCATGATAGTTACCTACACTCGAATCTACCGCATTGCCCAGGTGCAGATTCGTCGTATCTCTTCCCTGGAGAGGGCAGCCGAGCATGCGCAGAGCTGCCGGAGCAGCCATGTTGACTGCCACCGTCACACAAGCCTCAAGTCCTCCATCAGGAAAGAGACCAAGGTGTTGAAGACTCTGTCCATCATCATGGGTGTCTTTGTCTGCTGCTGGTTGCCGTTCTTCATCTTGAACTGCATGGTTCCCTTCTGCGAGAGCCCACCCAGTGACCCCCATGCTGGCCTTCCCTGTGTCAGTGAGACCACCTTTAATATCTTTGTCTGGTTTGGTTGGGCCAACTCTTCTCTCAACCCCATCATCTATGCCTTCAATGCTGACTTTAGAAAGGTCTTCTCCAATCTCCTGGGATGCGGTCAGCTTTGCTCTAGTACTCCAGTGGAGACTGTTAATATAAGCAATGAGCTTATCTCTTACAACCAGGACACGCTTTTCCATAAGGAGATAGTGACTGCTTATGTTAACATGATCCCAAATGTGGTTGACTGTGAGGAAAATCGCGAGGACCCTTTTGATAGGATGTCCCAGCTCTCCCCTGACCACGAGGTTGCCACTGACTCTGTCTGTGAGCTGGACTGTGAGGGGGAGATTTCTCTAGGCAAAATAACACCTTTCACTCCAAATGGTTTACATTAAATTGCATCCCATCCTGGTCAGTTCTTCTTGGATTATACAACAAAATATTAGCACTGAGTGGAAAAACCTGCTTGATTTTATGCTATAGTTTGGTCAGTGACTTCGTGCTAAACTCACATCTACGTGTAGCACTTTGCAGGATGTAGACAGTCATACAGGGAGCTGGCAGCACAAACTTGATTCAGCACTTCCCCAGGCTGAGAGAGGACCAGGCAGTTGGGTTGATTAGCTGTGGTGAGGTATGGTGGTATAATTACAGTCAGTTCATGTTTGTAACATGTTTGCAAATGAAAGGTGCCGTTGTCAGTGCTAAGTATTACAACTTTTAAAATCAGGGACACATGTGGCTGGCATAGACATTAAATAGAAAAAATTCTAGGCTGTTCGTTTGTTCAGATCTTATGTTTCTTTTTCTCTGTTGTTTTTTGTTTGGTTGATTTTTTTGTTGTTTTTTAAAGATAGAAATAGTGAGGTGGTGATTTGGATGATTATTTAAATGCCTGTTTCTGCCAAAACAGTTTATGTGAAATCCATGTTCTTCTAGGCGGCGTTGTTGCCTATATATTCTTGCCATGTTCCCAGATGAATAAATAAAAGTTACATTGATCAAGGGGTTATTATCTTTCATTTATCACCCTGAAAGGTTTACAACAAGTATTTCAAACTTTAACATTTCTGTTTGAATGGTTGGGTTGACTAACAGCTAAACCCTATTATTTTAAAAGCAAAATAGTCTGTATAGAAAATACAATTTTTGAATAAAAGCAAGGCTTATATAGGAATGATTTACTTAAATGAACTCTTTTACATGGCTCTACTTACAGCTAGATTTATGCCTGTTTTTCTTTAGTATTAATAGCTGATGCTATCCCTCTCCGCAGCTAAGAATATCAAGTATACATACCTACAAGCTATTAAAACTTTCCACTTAATTCTATACTTGAACTTACTTTCTAAAGATAGTATTCATGAGAAGAGTTTGGTGATAGAATTAGGAGCTGGATGTGTCTAAAACCAATAATTATGTTTGAAAATGATGCTAATGATCAGCATTTCCCAGTGTAGACATTAGAGAACTCATTCAAACCAAGAGAAGAAAAAGATGCTGTTGATATATTGTTTTAGTTATTTACTTATTAACCGGAACTTAAGTATACTTTAAGTGCTTTGGCTCTACAAAACATTTTAAGGCAGTCTTTAAAAATTGTAAGAGAGTATTTTAAGCTCTGTTTCTATTGAAACATTTATATCAAATGGAATATTTTATTTAGAAACATTTGTAAGCTTTCAGCTCAGAAATCAAAAGTGATCTTATTTCCAAGACAAATGATCAAAGGTAGTACAAGCAATACCAATATTTATTTCAAGTTTTGGCTCACAAAATGAACAACATTTGAATTCATTTGCCCTTTAAAAATACCCATGCCATGAGCTCAGCAGATTTAAATTGAATGGTAGGTGTTGATTCAGTAGCACTCCCTCCTAATGGTCCTGACCAACTCACCTGGGAGCTCCCCCCATCCTGCCTAACTGGGAGCTGAAGGCCCCTGTATGATGTCTGGGGGAGAAGTAGGATCTGCACTAGTCGGCGTGCTTCAGGAGGAGTCATTTAAGCAGATGCTGGGATTTGTGAATGTTATGCACTTAGGATTGAGCCTCTTTGGAAGTCAAGCCCCTAATACTGGTTTGGGGATTGTCTTACCACCCCTTGGGATACGGGGTGGAAGAAGCGCGGGAGGCATGCAATTGAAATCCCTTTGTGGTTGCCTCAGCTGCAGTCCGGTTTTGTCTGTAAGCAACGTTTTGTGTGTGTAGTCTTTGATGTTAATTGGTTATATCATCGTTTTGGATTATCTTTTCAATCGCTTGTCACTGAAGATTGACATCTACCTGAGCATTTTCTTTGCTGTTGATATGAAATCTCAGTGTAATATCCCTTTACAGCTGTCCTCAGAAAAGGGTGTTGTGACTGTGGCTTAGGGAAGCTTGAAAAACAGAAATCCCATGCCCAGAACCAGGTTCAACCTACTAATGGCTTGACATTGAGGGTGAGTATGTTAGTGTTTCTCTACTAAAGCAATCATATGTTGTCGGGAGTTAACCATAGTTCTAGCCCTGCTGGTTAGATAAACTTGCCCAGAATAAAATCATTCTCCCGAATAAGAATGAAGGAAACTGCTTCTGGTGAATTATCCCAATCGGAATTTAGATTTTTGCATTTTCTAGTTACTACTCAAGTTTTGAGGTTAGTACAGCATCTTAAAACTTTCCAGATCTGTGCAAAAAGCCTATGATACCCAGATGCAAGAGGTGCAGGCTCCTGGTGCTGATTCCAGCTCCCTGTATTTTATCCAATTTTGTCCATATTACGTCAGAAACAGCCCAGGGAGACAGGGAAGGGAAAACAGCTGACCTCTTCCTGAGCACCTGCGTGCCAAGAGGCTGTGCAGTCTGATGCTGCATGTTACACCCTGCTCCCGCAGCAGTACAGAGCAGCAGAACAGTGTCAGTAGTAACAGTGAAGAGAGTGTCCCCCCACCTCCCCAAGTAGCCTTTCCTCTTCAAAATAATCCCTGTGCTGGTGGTGTGACAGTTGCCTTGGATCCAGTTCCCTGCAGGTGTGGTGGAGGGGTAGATGTGTACAAGAAGATGCTAGTGCATCCCCCTGACAGGTGTTTTTCTCCTTGTCGAGGCTTTACCTGCCTGGGTTTCTGGAATAAGTGGGTGAGCTAACGCTGGGATGCAAGAAGATGACATCTTCATCAGTGGGTTTATATAAGAGCTTTGCACAGAATATCAGAAACAGTCTTAGATCTGAAGGAAGGCAATTTTTAGCCTGGCCCCCAGAATTTGGGACCATGATTAGGACAATACAGAAAACTGGTCGAATTGCCACTTTCCATCACAAATTTTTAGTTTATGACTTCAGCTGGTAAATGATTTCTGATGGTGGCTCTACGATGTAATCTCTCCTTGGAATATGCACGTCAGGGGGCTTCATCCTTTGGAGCCTAGGAGCATCCAAGCAGAAGGGAACATTTCTGCTTTGAAAGACAGAAGGTACTTTTTTGCTAGAAGCACAGGTTGACTTTATGAATCTGAAAAAAACCCTTTTTGTTGAGTTGTAACATAGGGATGATTTGTTGCTTTTTAATGTGTCTTAATTACTTATCACTGACAAAGCTAGAGTATTCAGAATTAGTAAGATACACTTTTTAAAGAAATGCGTATCTTGCCTTGAACTGTAAAAAGGGGCAGACCATTTTACTGAGAACATCCCCAAAAAAGATTTTAACTGGTTTCTCTCAGATGAAACTGCTGCCCTACTTTTTTAATGGTTTCCCTCTTAAGGACTAATGCATCTGCCTAGCCGTAGAGCAGAGTTCATTGGAAGTGCAAGTAGGTTTTTATAATCCTCATATCCTCATGGTGTCACTCTGGAACTCATCTGTGCCAATGGTTTTGTGCCTCCCATCAACATGTTTTCTTCCGTGAAAGTCACCTTGCTCCTGTCATACATTTTACTCCCTAATTAAGCATGATCCCTTATTGCTAGCTCAGTTTTTGGGGGTTTTTCTTTTTTTGTCCTTCGTACTCTAATGATTTGAATGTACAGTGCAGTTTGGCTTTGAGTCATCGTTACTTAATCCAGTCCTGAGTGACTGCAGACCTTCAAGATCCCCGATTATTTTCAGTTTCTATTTTGTGTTATTGTTTATATATTTTACCTTGCAATGCGTGTCACTGTTAAATTACTTCTGAGCCAGCCAAATCTTTTGTTAATGGCTGATTCTGTTAGTCCTGGATAACTCCGTACCAAGGGAGGGTCAGTATATCAGTAATCTGTATGGTTTCTGTCTGAGTTAACTAATGACAGAGGAGTTCATTTTAATGAAAGAACAGAACATGTCAAGGTGTCTTAGTTCATTTTTAAGAAGCTGGGACACGGAGCACATGAAACTACAGTGTTTTATGTAAAACGCTGCAAACACCATGAAGACTTTCACTATTCAACCCGCCAAAGAGCTTTTAATAGCACTGGCTTTAACAAGGAGTGGTGGGTTGTATAATGTTGGTTTTTTTTTTCCCCAAGATAAAGAAATTTAGATGACTTTCTCAGAGGTGAACAGAAACTACACTTTTCTTTTTTGAGGTTATACTCTGAAATAAGTGGTTGCAAATGACATCTGATTGGTGTAGCCTCTCTGGTTTAGCTGCTGCCTGGCTAGTGCTTGAACGGATGTGGCTGCGATAGCTGCTTGGGGTTTAGATATCTGAACTACATGTATGTCATAGTTTAGGGGCCTAATACTGAGTGGAAGAAATCCTAAATTCGTGTAATTTTTCCAGAGCCCCTGAGGAGCACTGCAAAACACAGTCTGGTGGTTGCAGAGCAGAGATGAGCCTCCACCGCAATCTGAGCTTGGTTGCTTCCGAGGACATCGGCAAAGTCTAGTCTGCAGCTCACCTGCTGCAGTTTTTGAAAATGTCCCTTGAGTAAAATATTAGCAAGGAAGTTCAGTGTGCCCTCTTTTACCCTTTGACCTCATTTTTCCAATCTGAAAGGTTTTTAGTAAGATTAAAAATCTACATTTCCAGCCTTTGGCCTTGACTTTTTGCTTTCTCTGTTAACTTCATATAATTAGTCTCCTTCGGTGAACAGAAGCTCCTGGTGTGGAGTTAGCTGCTTGGGTACCTCATCGTCACCAAATCTGGAACTACCTCAAGCTACACTTAAATTACGTTATGTCGCCAGCCCAAAGGGAATCTTTTAGATCTTTTTTTTTTTTTTCCCAAGCAGCAACATTTCCCTCCTCAACACAAGATTATTCACCAGAAACATAATTTAGAGGACAAGCGTAAATAGACTTTTTTTAAAGCTCTTAGGGATTTTGCTTGATTATACAAAATGAGAATGGATCGGTATTAGGCACAGAGATAAACAGAGTTTTTTCTACAAGAGGTTTAATTTTTGGCTTTTTATAGAAATAAAGGCTGGATGTTTTCATTGTGAAGAGTATATGCATTTGATTTTGTACACTTACATGCATACATATGTTCTTTTATATATACACACACAAAAAAATATATTTCGTCATATTTACAGGGTAATGAAATATATTTCTCTCTATATAAATACAAAATGTGCAAATTCATCCAGAAGGAAGCAAGTCAGATCTTAAAAATTTACTATTATTCTTTCATCACAACAATCAAATACAAGTACAGAGTCTTCCCAGATGTTCAGAAGGCGTTTTGGCTGTTGAGAATCTTTGAAAATCCAAACTTGAATTATGCAGTGAAAGGGAGCGTACAAAATTCTTTCAACTATTTTATATTCAAAGCATTTTTATAATGATTTGCTAATTGATCTTTATCTATAAGCATTTTGAGACAGATAGGAAGAAGAAGAAATTATTTAGAAGTATCTCTTGGATATCTCTCAACAATGGATATTAAACAATGCTTTTGTCTTTCCGATCTGGTGAAACAAAGATGCAGACTTCTCGACAGCGTGCAAAGTGTTTCTGCTTCATCAGAAGATAAAATATATTGCATAACCTTTCAAAACAGCCAATTTAGGTAACACAGTGTCTGAATTTTAAAT